AGCCGGAGCGGCGCGAGCCCGCGCGCCCCACGCGTCGCATGCACCGGTGCTGGGTTTTCTGTTTCTTCCGTACCAGCTGAGTGTAGCGCACCTGGGGACGAGGGGACAAGGGGACAGCATCAGGAACCCGCGGAAATGCCTCGTTGGCAGGAGACAGGAACCCCCTGGGGGTCATTTGAGCTCTCACTGTGTCCGAAAGTTCAGGTTTCAGGTCCAGTTTGAGGAAGCGGAAGGCCACGACGGGCACGATACAGACCACAGTGGTGAGGGCGATGGTCAGCCAGACCGTGGGCTGGGCCAGCGTGTTCTGAGCGTTACCTGGGGGGGGGTGTGGGGGGGAAACACGAGTTCAGGCAGGGCTCGGCCAGGGCAGCAGCCTGCTGGGGTAGGGGGGGCATCGCTCAGGCCCCCCGGCACTCACCCACGAAGCGGAACTGGTTGGGGAACATCTGGAAGAGGCCGTCGCTGTGCATGGTGAAGAGGATGGCGAAGTAGGCGGCCAGGCTGCCCCAGATGAAGAAGTGGTTGATGGCCGTCCAGAAACCCGTGTCCAGCCCGATCTGGAGGAGAGGGGAAAGGAGGCGGCAGAGCTCAGGGGCGGCTGCAGTGCTCTGAGCATGGCCGGAGGGCAGGGTGGGCCCCAAACCTTCACCCACTCTTTGTGAAAGGATGGGTTTAGAATCCCAGAATCATCTGAGTTGGAAAAGCCCCTGAAGCTCCTCCAGCCCAACCATGACCCTCCCCCTGACCCTTCCCAACTCCCCCAGATCTCTCAGCGCTGGCTCAGCCCGACTCTTCAACCCCCCCAGGGATCCCGGGGACTCCCCCCTGCCCTGGGCAGCCCATTCCCATGCCCAACAGCCCCTTCTGCACAGAAATCCTTCCTCAGAGCCAGCCTGACCCTGCCCTGGCACAAGGCAAGGGGCCGAGCAGCTGCATCCCTACCTGCACGCTGACCACGATGACGAGGGAGGTGGCGACGGTGACGGCGAAGGACTGGTAGTCGGCCAGCTGGGCACCATCGTCACGGGTGGCGTCAGCCAAGACGCCGTAGGGGATGAAGAACATGAGGACAGAGGTGTAGATGCCCTGGGCGATGCAGATGAAGAACTCTCGCTTGTTAAAGAGCAGGTTCAGCTGCCCAGGCTCGTAGAGTTTGGGGTACTCCATACTCCGCTGCTCCGGCACGTCCTGGGGACAGGGGCACTCTGAGCACCTCTGTCCTCCGCCACCACCCGCAGAGGGACAAGGGCACCCGGCAGCCACTTCTCCCAAACCGGAGCCAGGCCAGCACCTTGAGCACCCAGGAACCCCCCTCCTCCACCGTACCTGGTCAAAGACACCCATGGCGAGCACAGGCAGCGACGTGTAGACGATGTTGTACAGCGTGATGAAGTACTGGTCGTACACGGTCTGTACGGAATGGAGAGCTCAGGGGGACACCAGACCTGCCTGCCCCGTGCCCCAGCTGGCAGCTGCGTCCCCACAGCTGCAGAGACAGGAGAGCCACCACCAGCCCCCACCCCGTGGGTGCCCTCGCACCCACCACACACTGCCATGCTCCGGAAGGGTCCCAGGCTGTGCCCGCCGGTGCAGGATGAAGCCACCCCAGGAAGCCCTGGGCACGTAGAGGGGTCCCGCAGGCAAAACCCTCCCCAACTCTGCAAGCGAGGAGCCAGCAACGCACCTGCGCCGAGAAGCCGCAGAAGAAGCCAAACCAGAAGTGGACCATGGTGAAGGCGAAGTTCTTGTAGAAGAAATAGCAGAGGAACTTGCACATGCGTAGGTAGGACCAGCGCCCGTGCACCAGGAGCAGGCGCTGCAGGAACTTGAACTGGGAGAAGGAGTAGTCGGAGGCCAGCACCGCCTGGATGCCCTCCTGCCCGCTGATGCCCACCCCGATGTGGGCAGCTGGGAAAGGAAGAGACACGTGGAGTGATGAGAGCACAGTGGGGCCAGGGGTGGCCCCCCAAAGCAGGATTGTGTTCCCAAGAGGCACAGAGGGGCGAGGACAGAGCCTGCAAGTGGCCCTCCTGCAGCTCCCCAGGACTTACTCTTGATCATGCTGACGTCGTTGGCCCCGTCCCCGATGGCCAAGGTCACAGCTTTCTTGTACTTCTTCACCAGCTCCACCACCTGGGCTTTCTGCAAGGGCGTGACGCGGCAGCAGATGACGGCCTTGCAGGCACACGCCGTCTCCAGGAACTCCACCTCCATGTCAGCCTCCAGCGCGTGGGCCTGCGAGGAGAGCGGAGAGAGGGTGGGGGGCCCGGCCCGCAGCCAGGCCCCGTGCCCTGTCCTGCCCAGCGCTCCCAGCTCCCTACCAGGCTGTGTCCGTTGATGACCAGGGCGTATTCACCCGCGATGGCTTCCAGCACGGAGGTGAGCTTGGAGGAGGAGAGTTTCTCCTGGTAGGAGAAGCCGTTGCCCACGGAGCGCGACGCATCCATCATCTTCTCCCGGGCTTTCCTGAGGAGAAGGAGAGGGGTCAGGGGGCCCCCGATTCCGGACACTTCCAGCTCCCCCAGGCGCAGCCGGGCCCCATCTCAGCACCGTGTGCGTGTCCCCCGCCCAGCCCTGCCCCCCGACCCTCACCTCAGCTCCTCCCGCACCTCCAGCACAGTGTGGCCGGTGACCACAAACACCTCCGTCATGTCGTCCGTCAGCATCTTGCAGGAGTAGCCGATGTTCACGGCCGTTTCTAGGGATGGGAAAGCAGGGGCTGAGCCAAGGTCCCACCATCCCCCAGGCAGGTGGGATCCTGCCCGCGAACGGCCTCGTCTCCAGCCAGCCCAGACCGACCCCCCCCCAACCCTCGCAGTGCCTCACCCTGTTTGTCCCCCGTCAGCACCCAGATCTTGATGTTGGCCAGCGTCAGGATGGCGATGGTTTCAGGGACCCCCTGCTGCAGTTTGTCCTCGATGGCCGTGGCTCCGAGCAGCTGGAGGACCCAAACAGGCAGGAGATCAGCAGGGGTTCCTCCCCAGACCCCTCCCACCCAGTGCCCCCAGCCCACCTACCATCATATCGTGCTCCACCTCGTCATAGAGCCGAGCCAGACGATCCTCACGGGCCTCGGTGGCGCTGCCGGCCCGGTGCAGCCGCTCTGACCAGTCCTTGTAGTAGCTCTCCTCCAGGTCTTTGTAGGCCAACACCAGCGTCCGCAGCCCCTCACCAGCATATTCCTGCGAGGAGCCGGAGCTGGGTGCCAGGCAGAGCCCAGTGGTGCCCCCAGATCCCCTGATTGCAACCCAGGACAGGGCACGAGCTCTGGGCAGCCCCCTCCTCCCTTCCCAGCCCTGCCCGCAGGACCCTGCCCCACTCACGTTGAGGTGGTCGGTGGTGACGTTGGTCAGGTCCTGGTTGACAGGGTGCAGGCGTTCCAGCAGGATGGTGTCAGCACCTTTGCAGTACAGGCGGATCTTGCCCTCGGGGCTGCGGACTGCGGGGAGCAGGGGACAAGCTGCCTGGTTCGGGGGTGCAGGAGTAAAATCCCGCTCCAACCCCCAGCCACCCTCCCCACGATGCCTCTAAGTCACGTCAGCGTGGGGCTGGTCCTCAACACTGAGCCCCCGCGCCCCAGCCCACAGAATCATCTCGGTTGGAAAAAACCTTGAAGATCATCTCGTCCAACCATGAACCTCACCCTGACCCCAGCACAGACCTCCCAGCCCCACGACCTCACCGATGACAGACATGCGCTTGCGGATGTTGTTGAAGTCCAGGATGGCCAGCAGCTGGTAGGTGATGGCTCGACCCAACTCGTGCACCGTGATAGTCTTGGGCGTGCGGGACCGGAACACGAAACCAAAGTTTCTGGCAGCCGTGACCAGGGCTCCCTCATCCGGGGACTGAGCTTTGTAATACAACTCCCCTGGGGACAGCACGGGGGGGTCAGGGCCAGCGCCGTGCCCTGGGCCACGCAGACACAGGTCCTGCCCTCCGCACCCACCTTCGCTCTTCTCCTCGGACATGACGGTGTGGCAGAGCGAGAGCAGGCGGAAGAACTCGTGTACGTGGGGGTCTCCCAGCTTGACGGCTTCCAGCAGGCCGGGGTCCCAGAACTGGAACCGAGGGTCCGCCAGTGGGTTGAAGGAAAAGTCGACGGGCTCCGGCCTCTGGCAGGGGCAGAGACGGGGTCACCCCGCTGCAGCCCGCGGCACAGCCCAGCCCCGGCCCCGCGGCACCCTTACCTCTCCCAGCTCCGCCTTGTGACCCAGCACATCCTGCACGTCACCTGTGGGCACGGAGTTAACCAGGACAAGGACCCAACGCTGCTGCTCCAGCCACACCCCCACCCAGGGTCACGGGGCAGCGGCAGCCCCCCGCAACCCTACGGCTGAGCCCCCTCCTCCCTCCAGCTGCCACGAGGGCCCCCCGAAGGGTCTGCAAGAAGGGAGCTGGTGCACCCACCCCCCCGGAGCAGGCTCGCCCCGGGCACCCTGTGCTCACCGTAGCTGTGCCCGTTCACGGAGCACTTGCTGAAGACCATGATGTTCTGGGTGAGGGTGCCGGTCTTGTCGGAGAAGATGTACTCCACCTGCCCCAGCTCCTCGTTGAGGGTGGTGGTCCGGGCCTCGGCTGGCGTCCGGCGCTTGGCACAGTACATCTTCTTGTCCCAGTTGATGAAGTAGCTGTGCCCGAGACGGATCACCTCCACGCTGCAGGGAAGGGACAGCCGGGTGTCACCGGGGCAGGGAAACACCTTGCGCTGAGCCAGCGATGACGGGCACACGCACACACACAGGCCCAACCCCAGACCCCCAAGCGCCTGGTGGGGGGGCACCAAGGCTCCCAGGGCCCCCACGCTGCTTGCCAGCTCCCGCGCCCTTTCCCAGGGCTGGCCCGCACCCGCTCCTACTGACAGCCACCGCCAAGCCAGGGCTGAGGGAGAGGGTCTGCGTTTCCCCTTGCTACTCTGAGCTCCCTTAGGCCGAGTGTCCAGACAAGCTGCTTGAGGAGTTTTGTTGGGTTTTTTTCTGCCCCAAGTGCTAAAATCTCCTGCAGTGAGACGGCAGCAGCGCGTGGCTGCAGCATCCCTCAGCGGGTCGCTGTCTGGGTGCTGTTGGGAAGGAATCCCAAGAGAAAGGCTCCTGGGAATGGGGGAGACGTGGCCCTTTGGGAGCTTTTCCTGGTGTTTATTCGTGTTGCCCCTCACGGATCTCTCTCCTGGTTTCAGGCTGGTACACACCGCCCAAGGAGGACGGCTAGCGTGGGTGCCACAGGACCAACCTCAGTTATCTTCTGGATGCTCTCCTTGGATCTTAATGATGCCTCTTGGCTTTCTCCCAGGACGTAATAGCTCTGCCTGTTGCCGGACAATAATGGCTGTTAAAAACTCTAAATAAAAACTGTTTAAGCAGTCGGACCGACCTAAAACACTTGCTGGACCCTTGCTAGCAGGCATTCTTGTTAAAACAAACTTTTGAGCCTCTTGTATCGCTGGAAGCTTTCGACTCTACTCCAGTCTAGAGCGTCCTCCTTACCTATGCTATGGATTTAATTTATTTTCTTATTTCATGTACACTGCTTTTTTTTGTTACAGTGTATGATGGATGTGTATGGAAAATGTATCTTTGGAGAAAAATTACAGTTTGTTAATTTGAAGATGCTGGTCTGACTTAATTTTTTTTTGTTTTCCCAAGCTGCTGCTGGGTGGATGGTACCCTGTGCTGGCAGCAGTGGGGGGCGCCCCCCGCCCTTCCCCATGGCTGTGCCACGCTGCCTCTTCAGCTCTGGGGCCGTGGTGGGGGCACCGGGATGCAAAAGCCCTGCGGGAAGGTCTGAAACAGCCACTGCGGAGGAAGAAAACCCTTTTTCTTTTGGCAACAACGGAGCAGGATTTCTGCCCCCTTCTCCCCTAGAGCAAGAACAGACTTTTTTTCTTTATAAACTGCAAACTTACACCGCTGGAAGGGCAGAGGGGAAGATCTGGAACGCTTCCCTGGCTCCTGCTGTGGACGAGGGGGTTGTAGCTGCACCCCAGGGCTGCCAGCTTGCACCCCGAACTTCTCCATGTCCCCTCTCGCCAGGCACTGAGACACACGGAGGCTCGGCTGTGACAAACGTGGAGCTGGAGCCC